GCTGGCACAGGGAGCAATGCCCACATCCCATGTGTGAATAAAAATATTCAGCATCCTTCACACTCTCATCTTGCATAGGGTGAAGATGGCAGACCTGTAATGTTACTGGATTAGGAATGCAGAAATCCATGCTAATTTTAAAGTAGTGAAGATAATTTGTTGTAATTGTACATAGTTTTCGTGAGACCACAATTGGAGCATTATGTTTAGTTTTGATCTCTTTATCTAAGGGTACACTTGTGTTTGTGTGTGCTACAAAGATTGACCTGACTGAATCTTGGGACGGCGGAAGGGTAAACGCAGGAACAAAACTTCCCTGGCTGCTGGTTCTAGAATTCATTACTCAGCCTCGGAATGATAATCAATAGATTTCAAGATATCCAAGATATCCAAGATATCAAGGGATACGGGAATAGTGTGGAAAATAGCACTGATGGGCTAAATGGCCTGCTCATGCTCCTATTTTCAATGCAACTAATGTTCTGAGAACATGGGTTCAAATCCCACCATGGTAGGACAGTGGAATTTAAATTTGATTAACAAATATGGAATCAAAAGCTAGACTCAGTAATCACTGATCTTTGTAATGATCCATCTGCTTCACCAATGTTCTTTAGGGAAGGAAATCCGACATGCTCAACTGGTCCAGCCTACATGCGACTCCCAAGCTACAGCAATGAGATTGAGTTTAAATACCCTCTGAAATGGCATAGCACACCTCTCAGTGCATTAAACCGCTATGAATTCTAAAAGTAATAGTGTCAATGTACCAACAGCACAGGGGCCTGAAGTATTTCGAGGTGTCTCACAACTAACTTTTCAAGGGCATTTAGGGATGGCAACACCGAATGTACCCTTTAATTTGTTTGTTGTGTTTTAAGACAGACTCACAGCCAGGCATGCAAGCACTTTAACGAGCAGGTTGCCTGTATAGACAGACTTGGTAGATCCCAGATTGATATAGCAAAGGAGAACGACGCGATCTTTCCATGGGCAAGCCATAATACCCTGAAGGGTTTGAATATCACCCCAAGTTGAAACAAAGAATGGTAAGGAAAAATAACGTACAAGGCTTTTCATCTGTGAATGTGAAGTATGAAGTGTTTTTTACTATCCGTTGCAATCAGTCAAAGCAAAGGAGGCATCACCAATGCTGCTTCCAAACTACGCGTTTGCACAGAAACCACAAATGTGCAAAAAACAAAACAAGTTACTTGATATAGGTGTACAAGATGATAAGAGGCATTGATTGAGTGGATAGCCAGAGGCTTTTTCGCAGGGCGGACATGGCTATCACGAGGGGGCATAATTTTCAGGTGATTGGAGGAAGGTATATGGGAGATGTCAGAGGTAGGTTCTTTACACAGATAGTGGTGGATGCATGAAATGCACTGCCAGCGGTGATTGTAGAGTCAGATAGGGACATTTATGGATTCTTGGATAGACACATGGATGATAGTAAGATGAAGGATATGCAGGTTAGTTTGATCTTAGAGTAGGATAATAGGTCGGCACAACATCGTGGACCGAAGGGCCTGTACTGTGCTATACTGTTCTATGTTCTAAAACAACTTATGCATAGCAACATTGTCCTTAAGATAAACCCATGCACCAACTTCAACAGGACCAGACTATGCAGCAAGCCTGCTACGTACAGTGAATGAAATTAGAGGGAACACTGGACATCACCCACCAAAATGTTGTCAAAACAGCTGTGCTTGAAGGATGCTAGAGGGTCAGTGAATATCCGAGAGATCATGAGCACTCAACACATGGAAATGGAGACACATGCAAGGAGCAAACAGTCTTGCTTTCTGCAGTGATAATGATGTAACTGTTTTCACTGTCAATTATGCCAGCAATTAAATCACCAGCAGCTCTTATTCTACTTCTGTCAGAAAATGTATTTCTGTGTCTTCAGAAAACAAGAACTCTGCACTTTATTGACACTTTTTAACACAGGAAGGAGAATCAAAGATTCTGTGATCTGCACAGACAAATATTTTGAACTATGGTAGGGAAGAAAGCAGTCAGACAAACTACATCAGCCTGAGAGATATGGGATTCAGCTCTTGGACTTCCAATACTCTATGCCATGACAAACCACATACATAGGAAAGTAGGAATTGTGAGACAAGAGTAGTTCAAGGTCCTATCTAGATTACTTTCAAACACTGTAACATTACATGTTGCAAAGATACTGGAGCTGTTGACAATTCACAACCATCAACCTCATTAAATTAGACCAAATTTGCTACAATTCAGACTTCAGGTGAGGAAAATACCTTTGGGTGACAGCTTTGGCAATCATCTGTTCTAAGTCAGCCATTCCCCTCAAAGAAACCACATTTATAACAACATATTTTGATGGAATTTCTTCTAGTCTCTTTTACCTGACTCATTACATTTTCTTTGGCATTGTACTATTATCCCTTGCTTTATTTCATCTGTCCTGAATCCGTCCCCATCACAGCCTTCTATTTTGTTCTTTTAACATCCAACCTCCTGCCCGTAACATTCCCCAGCTCTGACAACTCTGCTTCTCTCCATTAACTATATCAGACTTGCTGAATGCATAGGAGTATAGGACTGAATAACTACTCCTGTTCCAACAAGATAGCTCCACCTTTCAATAAAATCACAGCTCATCATCTGATTCAATGGTACTTTTCTGTACTACCTTCATATCCCTTAATGACATGAGTGTCCATCAATTTCTGTCTTGAACCTTTGCAATTATTGAACTTTTCTGAGGCACAGAATTCTGAAGATTCATCACCCTCTGAGCAGAAATTTCTTCTCTGCTCATTCTGAACTGACTTAACCTTATCCTGATATTACGTCTCCGTGTTTTAGACTTATCAGCCAAGGAAAACTTCTCACCGACGTCAATCCAGTTATGCCCTATAAGAATTCTGTAAGTTTTCATGAGGTCACCATTTTTCTTTACTCTAAGGAATACATACCTAGTCTCCTCAACTTCCCCCCATAGAAAATCTTGCATTACCAGGGATCAATTTGGTGAATCTCTATTACACACCCTTAACTTCCTGTATTTTCTAATTTGTTCAAATCATCAGCTACAGAAACATTGCCATATCAGAAACAAGCTTTCTCTATTCATTTATACAATTACTCTGATACAGCAAGGAAAAGAGATTTTAAGCCTGAAATTAGTTCAGGACTTGTTACCAAAAACGTCAGTGCTTCAAAGCGCACAGAGAAAGAAATGACATTACCTCAACTCAAAATACTGGTCTCATAATCAGCCTGTGTAAGGTAGCTCTTTACTGTGCCCAAAATTACATTAAAAGAGAAAACTTTCTATCAACTCAGAGTTTCCAACAGATCCGTTGACCTCTAGTGAGACTAAAATTTGTTGAACTCCAAAAAGTAGATTAAAAAAACTAGATGCATTAACACATTTACTGATACAGAGTAAACTGTTATACTTTGTCTTAAAAAGACTCCTTTTTTGGCAGCTAGCTTGGCAAAATACAATCAAGGGTGTGCAGTCTGCAAATGGCTTTTATTAGTGACATTTTCCTCGTTTCCTGGAGCACAGCTTTTTTTTTATTCCCCCTCAAATCTGTCTGTTTACCTTGCAGCAGCTGCCAACATGGAAACTTAATATTCTGAGGCAACTCCATAAACTGGCAAACTGACTCATCAAAAGAAACCATTACAAATTTCTCACTGTGCCAAAGCAAACAAGGCGAAAGGTCTCTGTTTAAAATCATGCAATATGTTCTTCTCCTACTATGGCTTCACGACCCCGATGGAAATGATTACCAGCAGGTACCTAACATCTGAACAATTTCCAGCACACAACAATTTATTAAACAAATCTAAACTTAACTGCATACGAAGGAATTTACAAAAACAAGACAGCGATTTTACAGATTATAATGACAAGATTGAATGAATAAGGGAGCATTTTGTCTGCTGTACATCCACAAGGTAGCTGACACACTATTACAACAGATGTTGCCCAACTGCAGATCAGAAAGAATACAAAGACGTAATCCATCTTCATATAATTCCTGGCCGATAACATGCATTTCATGCCACTTTTGAAGTAATATGTCTTACTTGACAGTTGGTTTGATCTCTTCATCTTTTCGCATCTATTTAATCAGCCTACACTCTACAAATCCGACAGGTAAGCAAGCTGATCCACGAATGCAAAGCACAATCCCTTCCTGACCCTCACCAATCACAAGATTCAAATGATGACTAAAAAAGAAATGAACTGTTCGCTTGCAAGCAACGTGACTACCATACTTTCTCTCATCCAAATTTGCCCATGAGCTGAATTTTATTTACTTGAAAGAGATAACTGAACATGATCACAACATTACACAAACAATATACTAATCAGCAATCCTGTATTATTGCAATCTCATGGAGTGAGAAAGGAGAAACAATCCCATATCAATGTTGTGGAGTAAGATTCCTTATATTTTCCAGCAGCTTTAACCCAACAACAATGCGAACATGAGGCTAGAAGGGAATCCTGACTTCCAAGATGTTCTGGTTAGGAATAGGCTTCGTGCCATTTGTTAAAAACAAATGAGGAAACAAATGTATTTCAATTTCTTTTTGAGTAATCGTATTGTATACCAATTTCTTTTGATTGTACCAAAATTCGATCTTGCCCCATGTCCTTATTCCAACTACAATTGTATGAATCTCCATTAATGGTGCTGAATGCTGTTATGAGTGGGTCAGGCTTTGGGCAGAAGCCTCATTAATAGCTCTCACTTTCAACATTAATTGACCAAACAAAACCACAAAAAAGTTAATGAAGGCTGAATCTAACCTCAAATTATTTAAATGATTCCAATCTTGTAGGTACAAACATTAGTTAAACAGAACAATATCTGTTAATACAAGAAGTGTTTCTCATTTCTATTAACCATTTATTCAGCTGCTGACATTGACTGTTAACCAAATCGAGACTTTTTCAAAGGAAATGCATTGAAAACATTTTTACTTACTGTATTTGTCGCATCTTCCTGCAAAATTGCATCATACATCCTGTTGGCATCTTCATACCTTGTGGAACAGCAAAGCACGCAATAGTTTACTTTTATATGATCAAATGCTTAAGGGCAACAAATGTTCTTCATTATCAAATGACAGGCTCACGTCACGTATCAATACATGAAAATGCACAAGAACACAAATGAGTGGCACCTATCCTTTCATTTGCCAATTACCCAACTCAAAGAGTTGAAAAACAAGTATGACACCATTCAATAGTAAATGTTATGGTGGGACAAGACATGCAAAAATATTTTGAAAATGAACCATGCACCTTCAATATGTCTTTCATAATTTCTACTCATCTTCCTGGTGCAAAACAAACAAGTTCATACATACCTTTCTAGGGATTCAAGTCGCATCCCAGTCAATCGCTTCACCCGGTGGCTGCCTGGAAATTGTTTGCGGAGTTCTTGCAGACACAGCTGTGGATGGAGTAACATTAGCGCAAGTTTTGAATGCCCCTCATTCACACTTTCATGCTACTTACAACATACTGATGGTTAACTACCATGTTTTGTAGTACCTATTTGCATTAATACCTTGAAAACTTGAATCAAATCACCTTATAACCAGATCATTTTAAATAACTCTAATAATTTCATGACACAATGCAATGAGGTTTTAAAATGAAAACACAAAATCTGATTTCACAAATAAAGCTAACAATAAGTTTGCTTTATGAAGAAAGTACATAATCTTTGGCAATTTCTTCCAAATAAGCAAAAAGTATAAATTTCTTTTTGGTGTAGCTGCATGAATGGGGTATTGACAGTTAAATGTTCCATAAAGGTGCATTTACCATACATGTGAATAAAGTTGCATCATTATACTGTGCTTTTACATCATTATAACGTAAATAATGAATGGAACACAACATTGATTTATGAAAGTGGAATGGTGAAGCGTTGTACTTCAAATTAGCACTGTGAAATCCAACTGAGAGTTTCTGGTCAAAAATAAGCCAGAAAATTCCCTTACCCTCGTCCTTCTCCCATTGGGGGCAGCATAGTGGCTCAAAGGTTAGCACTGCTGCCTCACAGCATCAGGGACGTGGGTCCAACTCCACCCTCGGGTGACTGTTTGTGTGGACTTTGCACATTCTGCCCGTGGCTGTGTGGGTTTTCTCCCAGAGCTCCAGTTTTCTCCCAAAGTCCAAGGATGTGCAAGTTAGGTGGATTGGCTATGCTAAATTGCTCCAGAGTGGCCAGAGATGTGTAGGTTAGATGTGTTAGCCATGGTAAATATTGGGTGGGGGATGGGTCTGCGCGCGATGCCCTTCGGAGCGTTGGTGTGGACTTGTTGAGCCGAATGGCCTGATTCCACACTGTAGGGACTCTAACCTCGTGCAAACTACAAGTATTACCTACTCTTGAAAACCTTCTTGGGAGACTCTGCATGGTTCCAGCAATACCTCAATGCTACATTAACATATGCACACTAGACAGTCTGTTTCTGAACAATAACTGAACAAACGTGTGATTCAACATGAGTCAGCATAGCTATACATGACCTGCTGACCATGGCAGAGCTATTAGAATTGCTACTGAAATTACACCAAATCAGTTCGAAGTAGGAGGTGATAAACTTGAAACGTTAACAATTTCCTTCTGCATAGATGCAATCAGGCCTGATGAAAGTTGACAACAATTTCTGATTTTATTCCAGATTTTCAACATCTGCAGTATTTTGCTTTTGCACTAGTTAATTTCCATTTGTTCAGGCATTTCAACTGTTCCAGGGTATTGAAATTAACAGATTTTTAATGTCTAAAAGGGGCACAAAATTAGCTCGTGAAAATTAACATCAATAGCATATAAAGAAATGAAAACATTGACAAAGACAAGGCCGAGGAAATGCCAAATGGACAAGATCCTTGAAATATCCGACTTTATTTTGTGGTTGTTACCTGTCAGAGTTGGAAAAGTGCCTGCAGCTTTTTCAGGCTGTTCTGTCATTTCATTAGATCATGTCGCATTTACTGATCTTAGTCCCACAGCCCTGGAGACTCCTACCTTACAAAAATATACTCCATAAATTTTCAGAAATCCTTTCATGAGTTCTCACATGAAGAACTTGGAGGTGTCAAACAGATTCACTATACTGATAACGGGGTTCAGAGAGTTAAATGGAGGGAATTTTGCTTGATTTGCACTTCCTAGAGTATACAAACGGAGTCGTTATCTGATAATTGTACTTAAAATGTTAGTAGGATTTGGTACAATTATTGCAGAAAAATTAGTTCCTTTGATGGGGGAAAAGTCAAGAACAAGTAGACAAAATCTTAAAATTCAAGACAAGCCATTTGACAGTAAGACTGGAGAGCACATCTAAACTCAAAAGGTGAGCAGATACTGGAATTCTCAAACTTAAAAGGTTATCAATGCTGGTACTATCTGAAGCTTTCAAGTCAGTGATTAATGGATTTTTGTCGAGCAAGGACATAAAGCCAAACAGCAAAGGCAGATAAATGGAGTCAAGGTACTAATCAACCAGGAAAGCCAGAACAGGTTTGAGACACTGAATGGTCTTCTCCTGTTCCTAAAAAATTCCATCATTTGGAACAAGTTACCAGGTACGATGGAAGAGTGAAAGATGTGAGAAATGTTGTCAGGTGGGGCAAAACAGAATAACCGGCAAAGTGTCAAATTACATGCTTTCATTCTTAATTTGTCCTTTTATATTTGTGCTTTCTTCAATATAAATACCAATGAAAAATAACTTAGATTTATATAATAAATTCTGACATTTTGAGCTTAACAGCAAATCAATAACATAAACAAAACTGAAGTCAGTGTGGTGCTTTGGGTTTAGATTTCTGTTTTGAACAGGGAGCACAAACCTCCATCTGTTAAAACAGTCAGTGATCCAAGCAAAGGGAATTTTCTTCACTGTGCCTCCTTTGACTGACATTTGGAGTTAAAACATCCAGGTGCTTCTTGTTAAACTCAAAACAGTGTAACAAGGAAGCATTCTAATACTGATCCATTTCAGAGTACATAATGGATAGAATATTATGCACTGCAAGCATGTCGCAAATCAGAGCCACTTGGCGAACACTGCTCACTTCCAATTTAGAATTGCTCTTATTTATTATCCAAATCCAAAGAGTGAATGAGCCTGAATATGCCCATCCCCTGCAAAGCTGTGTTGAGGTTTGTGCTCTTGCTCTGGAGGTACAAACACATGAAAAACACTGCGAAATTGGCTACTTAGACTAGGTTTGGAGCTCTGGTCACCTAACACGGTTAGTGACAAGGTTGCGAACTTCCATTCTGTTTTAGATGAAAAGCATGTATCCTCAAAATTGTATGAGTACAAGGGAAAAAGAAAACGTTAGCCGATGGTACAACAACTCGGCATGCAATTTCAAGAATTAAAGCAAAAGATCTGACAGGGAAATAGGAGGATGAATTTTTTTAATGCAGCAAAGAGTATTGATCTAGAACTCACAATCTATGAGGAAGTGAAGATGACTAATGACTTTGAAAGGAAATTAGATGGGCTCTGGTTTAAAATTGTGCCTCTGGCACAAGATGCACAGTACATTGGTGAGGCCGCTTTTAGAATACTGCAAAAGCCAAGGTCTTTTTCCCAGGATAGGGGAGTCCAAAACTAATGGGTATAGGTTTACGGTGAGAGGGGAAAGACTTAAAAGGGAGCTAAGGGACAACTCTTTCACACAGAGAGGCGAGCTGCCAGAGGTAGGTACAATTATATCATTTAAAAGGCATCTGTGTGGGTACATGAATAGTAAGGTTTTAGATGTATATGGGCCAAATGCTGGCCAATGAGTCTAGATCAGTTTAGGATATGTAGTCGGTACAGAAAAGTTGGACCGAAGGGTCTGTTTCCATGCTGTATTACTCCATGAATCTAAGTGGGACTCCTAGGTCTCCTGATCGTAGTTTCTTTTTCTTTTTCTTTTCTTTAAACTGATAATGACCAACTGATATTCATTGGACTGTGCAACTCCAGTCAGCTGTGCTGAAATTTAGAACTAGAATCATGAGACTGACTTATGCACTTTATTAAAATGACTCATTCACAATATATCACAAAAGATGAGCCTCAATCTTACTTAGATCCATATTTATCTAAGCTATCTCAGATCATGAAAAATGATCTCCTGCAGAATAAAGCAAAGTGGGTTGCTATACAACAACAACTCTCACTTATATAGTACCCCTAATGCATCACAGGAGTATCAAACAAAATTCATCATCAAGTCAATGTAGGAGACATTAGGCTGGTCAAAGAGGTAGGTTTTAAGGATAGTCTAACAGAAGGAAAGACGGTTAAAAAAGGGGAGAGGTTCAACACTTGGAGCCCAGACAGCTAAAGGCACAGCAACCAAAGAATAAAAGAGATCCAGATGCTCAAGAGGACAGATTCGGAAGAGTCCAGTGATTGTGGAGACCTGGAAGAGGAGGTTATAAAGATAAGGTTGGACAAGGCTACAGAAAGATTTGAACAAAAGCATGGAGAAGATTAAATTAAAGATGCTGACAAGACAGGAGTCTGTGTTGGTCAGCAAAAACTGCACTTCACTGTTTGCAGGCTCTGATCAAGTGGTAGCATACATGCTCTGAATCACAAAGTAGTGGGTTCAGTTCTCCCTCTGGGGTTTGAACACAAAAATCAAGGCTGACACTCCACTAAAGCCCTGACCAAGTGCTGCACTATTGAAGGACCAGGCTTTTGGATCAGACATTAACCTAAGGTCTCACCTACTGCCCAGAGCACTAGTTTGAAGGAGGCAGGGAAGCTCTAACCAGTGTCCCTGACAATTTTTATCCCTCAATCAACATCTCAAGAAAAATTATTTGCTGATTATAAGAACATAAGAACTAGGAGCAGGAGTAAGCCATCTGGCCCCTCGAGCCTGCCCCGCCATTTAATAAGATCATGGCTGATCTTTTTGAGACTCAGGTCCACTTACCCGCCCACTCACCATAACCCTTAATTCCTTTACTGTTCAAAAATTTATCTAGCCTTGCCTTAAAAACATTCAGCGAGGTAGCTTCAACCGCTTCACTGGGCAGGGAATTCCACAGATTCACAACCCTTTGGGTGAAGAAGTTCCTCCTGACCTCAGTCCTACATGTGCTTCCATTTATTTTGAGGCGATGCCCTCTAGTCCTAGTTTCACCTGCTAGCAGAAACAACCTCCCTGCCTCCACCTTATCTATTCCCTTCATAATCTTATATGTTTCTATAAGATCTCCCCTCATTCTTCTGAATTCCAATGAGCATAATCCCAGTCTACTCAGTCTCTCCTCAAAATCCAACCCTCTCAACTTATCCCAGATGGTCAGACGTGTATGTGAACAGCCAAGTCTGCAGGTATAGATGAGAACTTTTTTTTTCCATTCACAGGATGAGGGCATCGTTGGCTAGGCCAGCATCTAGTTCCCATCCCTAATTGCCCAGAGGGTAGTTAAGAGTCAACCACAATGCTTTGGGTCTGGAGTCACATGCAGACCAGACCAGGTAAGGATGGCAGTTTCCTTCCCTAAAGGACATTAGTCACCCAGGTTTTTTTTTACTGACAAACAACAACGGATTCATGGTCATCATTAGACTATTAACACCAGATTTTTATTGAATTCAAATTCTATCATCTGCTGTGGTAGGATTTGAACCCAGGTCCTCAGAACATTATCTGGGTCACTGGATTAGCAGTCCAGCAATAATACCACTAGGCCATCACCTCCCTTTGAGAGTGAAATGGAACAAGCAAGGACAAAAATGGGTGATATTAATTCAAGCTGAAATAGGTTCTCTTGCTAATTAAGATATGGGTTAGAATCTGCAGGTGAGAACAAGTTTACAAAATGCTCATATGGTTTCCGCTGACAAACCCAGTATTGTGTCACAGGTGAGCTTGTACCTGAAACCTGCCACCCTACTGAACTGTGAGATTACTGGGAAAGGTACAGATGATTAGGAAGGAAAGTGAGTAGGAAGAATTAAACAAGTACTAGGTTCACTCTTAGGTGTGCCTGACTAGCTATAGCTTGGACGTGACTGAGGAAACTGCATGAATAGTGAATAAAGTAACATAGGGAAGGTAGAAGCAGCAGCTGAACAAAGGCTGGCGAATACAACACCATTTTTTTAAGAAACTGTGTGGCCTCTTTGTACAATTGCTGACAAGTTTAGGTCACTTCGGTCAATTTTGGACTACAAATAACTTTAGATTTAAACATCAGGTTCTTTATTTCAGTATGTGCTTCATTCTAAACTAAAATATTGTCTATGCTAGAAATCTGAAATATAAACAGAAGATGCTGAAAATGCTTTGCAGGAAGTCAATCAGCACCTATTTTGTACTGAATTATATCTCTAAAATACTTGGTCATAATTTGGCTAGGCATGAAATAGTGGGAACACATTATTGTTTGCTCAAATCAAAGCATTTTCTTCCATTCTTAAGCAAAATGCATTTCAGTGAATTTAATGACAGCATGCATGTGAAATTCAAAGCTTAAAACAACAGTAAGAAAGAACTATAAAAATGTATCTAACTATTATAGATACCTACCGTTGCCAAGTCATCACGGCTACAGTCAAGGGCAGCAATCATCACTTGTTCATAAATTATCCAAACTAAATGCAACAAAAATTTAAACAAGGAGAAAAAAAGTTATGACAGCAATTAAAAAGTTTGCACCTCCTCAATGAAATCTCATTTTAAAGCCAGCAAAGTCACTTATTGTTTGTGTAAAACCAGACAGCCAAAGGGAAATGGAGGGAAGAAGGAAAGAAAGAAAAAGACAGCAAAGGAAGAAAGTATGAAACAGAGACATCAGAAGAGAGAATGGGAGAGGAAAAAGCAAGAGAGTAGAAAAAACATCCAAGAAGTGAGAGAAAGAGGAAATTCAGAAAAATGAGAAAAGGAAAGAAAAAAGGTCAGATAAGGAGATTTGTTTAAATGTCTGGGGATGATAGTATGTCTCAAATACTTGCCAGGTAATTCAAGACTGCAGAAACATAATTACCTTTTGCTGCATGTTGGAACAGTGAAAATTATTACTTCTCCTTTGAAGTATTTCCCAGGTCTAATCTTTAGCAAATGCCTTAACAGCTTAATATTTCTAAAATATAAGATGATAATTTAACAACGGCCACAGATCAAACAAGATTGCTATTGTGCACAGAGGAGTTACTGGAACAGAGAAGAAAACAAGGACGCTCCACAATAACATTTTATCATGTCAGTAGGTCTTTTGTTCAACCTTCACCTAGGAATAATTGCCATATTAGTAATGACAATAGACCACTATCTTTGCTGGAGAGAGTGAGGCATAAAAATCACACAAATTCTCCCGTTGTTGTGGAAGCATTGTTTACCACCAGAGGCAGTATGCTTTACATTGTTAGCCTTGTAAAGACAGCAGTATTGCAGTGTGAAAAGGGAAACAGCATTCACCAGTTTCTCTATGTTGTGTCAAATCATCTTACTGGTTCAATACTTAAAACAAATTGTAGACAATAAATTCTTACAAAAAGCCAGACCACAGGAATGAGGGTGTGGATTATGAAAAGAATCTTGTATACTGAGAGACACAGGATCAATATAACTAATTTGCAAGTTGACAATCCTCCCCTCCTGTTGTGCAACCCATGTGCTCTACAGCCAGGAATAAAATGTGCTCGCTGCCCATTTTCAGTCCCTAGTTTTAAAGGCAGACTGAAAACAAATGAAAAGGATTAGTTTAAAATACATAATGTTACTAATTAACAGTAATAAGGAATGTAACTGGGTGTACCAGGGCCCCAGGACTTCTGGTTTTGTTTGTCAAATAACCTGCTACTCTCAGATTCAACCAACATTTCCAACATTATTTACAGGTGCAACATCAAAGTGCAGTTTGGACATGCATGTTTTCTCCAGGAATCTGGACCTTATTTCACAATTGTTACACATACAGAACAGGCATATAATCTATTTATGGCATATATTTAAATACATCACATTACAAAGTGAAAAGTGTTAGGAAATACCAGATAACATAATACAATTAATTAGATAAAGAAATCAGACAAACTTTTTTTCTAAACATGTCACGTATAAATTAAACATTAAGATTTGAAAAGAATTAAATTTTATTCCCACAGAAGCACAAATAATTGATTATTACAAAGCTGGTTTTAGTGATGAAATAGGTATTATTTAAAGGAAGCCAGTCCTTTAATCTCCAGTGTTCTTAACTCAGGGGGCTTCAATTTGTAATTCTGATTTACAATCATCATCAGGTAATTAATTAATTATTTCTAGTATGGCTGGTCACATATTATGCTAAAGGCAGGATATTTTATAACGAACGGAATGAGACCCAACACAGAAGCAATTAGATGCGGGGAGAGGGAAAAATAAGAGACACGGGCAGACAGCAATACCAGACAGAATGGGAGGGTGACCCGCTAGTGAAGAGACTGCGACACAATGGGTGGGTAGGGTCACTGAATATTTTTAAGTGGGATAAATTCTTGTTAGGCCATAGAATCAAAGATTATTGGGGGTACATGGAAATGTGGAATGTGGAAATCGTAATACTAGTAGATCCCCTATGATCTTACTATATGGTGGAGCAGGATTCAAGGGACCAAGTGACCGACACCTGGTCTAATTCGTATTTATGTTCACCGTGTTCCATGAGCCACCAGAACACTTAGTCATCATAAGGTAGATTTGCTGACACCGTCCTTCTTTTAGGTTGAGACCCAAAGGGCCTGCTTCGTCTTTTGTCTGCTGTACCAAAAACCACTAGGTACATTAATGAGAAGAAGCTCTAGTCTTAAACAAGGAGTTTATCACATGATAGAGGTCAGGTACAAATTACATTGGAATGACAACTACTAAGATTATGAGGAAACTTCCTTTGAAGTACAGAGTTGTTTTCCTCATCCAAGTTCTTACAACATCATCATATTGGCTGGAACTTAATTAACTCCACTGCATAATGGGGCAGTAATGGCCTAGTGATATTTTAGCTAGACAGTTAAACCAGACACCCAGGAAATGTTCCAGGGACCTGGGTTCAAATTTCACCACGGCAGATGGTGGTACTTGAATTCAATAAAAATGTCTGGAATTAAGAGTCCAATGATGACCACGAAACCATTGTCAATTGCCAGGAAAATCCATCTGGTTCGCTAATGTCCTTTAGGGAAGGAAACTGCTATCTTTATCTGATCTGGACTCTATGTGACTCCATATGCTCTGTAATCTCTCCGGGATGGGCAATAAATGGCCTAGGCAGTAAGCCCTCAACCCACTAATGAATATACAAAAAAAAACTTTCAGCACCAAACATAATGGAAATTTTTAAGGACTTTTTGGCTTGATTGCAATGTGCCTGAGAAAAGTGACGGAAGGAGGCCTCCAGATGGGCAAGGAGGAAGGAAGGGAGGCAGCCAGTGAGGGAGGATGTGACTAAGTGTTTCAGCTGTTGCTGTGGATTCCACACAAGCCTTGCAGCTTGAGGCTGGCTGAAGACATTCTGCTGAGATAGATTAACAGATGATGGGATGTCAACTGATTCAGTGCATGCAAAGAAAGGGAAAGTTTCTGCTACTGTTCTTGGCAGTCAATAATTATTGAAGTCTGGTGAAAAGACAAGGTCATGGCTCCAAGAGTGGAAAGTCTCAGCTGGCAGGTTCATCCTTCAGGCTGATCTGTTTATCATCAATTCTCCAGAAATGGGCAGCCACTTGCTCATTATTTCTTAAGTACACTAGGAACAGAATTATAGATGACTAGAAGTGAGTGATAAGGCTTTGCTCTGGGAATTCAGAGGACATCATAAACCATTAAAGGCATTCTCAAATGGTTATGGAAATCTTCGCAAATCAAGGGATTAAATTACCACCTTGCACTGACAATATCATCCCTGATTATGTTCTCAATAAATTTTAATTCTTTACAAGAAATATCAAGTTAAACAATGAATAGCGACTATGGATTGTGACAGATGAGGCCTGGAGAACATTGATGTAAAAATTACATGAACGAATAAAAAATTTCCAAGTGCAAATTGATCAAACAGTGAAGTGGCTTACCAGTAATTAACCCAGCAAAGAAATGAGTTAATTCAAGGGAAAAAAAAACCTTGTATTTGTGTAGCAACTTTCAGGAACTCAGGTGTCCAAACATGTCTTAAACCAAAAGAAACACTTCTGAAGGGTGGTTACTCTTGTAGGAAACACAATCACCAATTTGTCCGTAGCAAGCTCCCACAAACAACAAGGTGATTTGCTTTTATTGGTCTAATGACCACCTTTGACTTGACATGCACTCTGCATTTTGCTTTCAGTAGTCGTTTTTGAGGGATTGTTGACTCAGCCATCTCATCACTTACTTGGATCACTCGCTATCCACATACTCCTCCTAAATCCACTCTACCTTCTCTGTATCTGCCTGTGGAAATCTATATTCTTGCATTCGTCAGAATTAGATCGAAAGAAACAGACTAGCTAAAAGAGACACCATTTCGTACAGCACGAGAGGGAGTGCTGGTAGGGTGGGCAGCAATTACAGTTATCAGTAAACCCTCATTCTTAGACCAGGCTGGCTGAGATAGGACAGGGTGTTGCCATGGAAATGTAGCAGAGATTGGTTGTCTCCAAGATCTTCCCTTAGTGAAAATATTGCAATGTATGTACAAATTTTTTTGCCTACATAGGGTCCTGTATATGAACATATGTAGCTTCTAGCACACATAAATACTTAATATTATTTGAGAGCCCAAATGATGATCTTAAATTGGTTTCCAGTGTAAGTCTTAGCACGGTTCAGATTATTTAATAAAGGACTTCCAATAGCAGAATTACATCAATGATGGATGTAAATTTCTGAGGCCTACATGCATAGGCTAGTTGAGCTGGATTAACATGCTGCCTGCTGTGAACAGTCATTGAGATGTGTTGTTTAATACTGTCTGGCAAATGATGCGGTGTACAGCCTACATTCCTGGCTTCACACATGCACTGGAACTCATATCACATTCCTCACTTTTCAAGTAGACAAAATGCCTTTTGGCTTGATGGCAGTATCCTGTTCATGGAGAAACACTCGTGGGTGTATTGCATAGTAGCAGTATGAGACAGTTAACTTCACCATTTGTTCAAATTTTTCAAACACCTTTCCCTTCCAGAATAATGTATGGTAGACTGGGCACTATTCAGAGCCAAACATAGTAGACATAGGACCTTTCATGAGATTTTTGCGATCTACAGCATGTGATGATTTGATCAGGGCATCCATTATTATGCAGGATACTTCTGACACACCTTTGTTTCATTGCCAAGCTTACATAGTGAGCAGATGGCTAAAGCGCTATTCCTGAAGTTGCCAAAGGATTGACCATGTAAAGGGCGGGCCTGTAGGACTCCTAATACGTATATTAACCAGTGAATGTAGGCTTTCAGTAGTCAGTAATCAAGAATCCATTGGTACATTTCTCAACTAATACATTGAGGAAAAGAGAGCTCATTTTATTGCGGTAGGCTTGAGCATAAACTGTGTAAAGAAATTCTATGATGCATGTGGATTCACATATGTAAGCATAGGAGGTTAGTGCTCATTCCGAAGATGCACTCTCATGGTAACCACCTAATATGTTGATAAGGGGTGGGCGTAGAAGGGATTTCATGGCAATGCCATCTGTTTGGTCAGACATGTTGTCATTGAAACTGAAGTCAACCGCACAAGCTGCTAAGTTCTGAGTTCAATGAACAGATTCACATACGTGTGGCAGATCTAGATTATCATAATATAGTGACATAATATAATTAGCTTCTTTGAATGGTGTGATTGTAAATAAAAATATAAGTCTTATCTGGTCTTCATAAATGTGAGAGAGTCTTTCAGTGTATGTAGAAAATTTATTTGGAACTGACTGCAACAGCTCACGCAACCATTTGGTCCATTTATGTTGGGCTTGAGCCAGTCACAGATAGGATAGGGTGTAATGTGATATAGCTTTTATGTGTACTGTGTGACTCATGAAGCCATGAAGACAAATCCCATCATCGGGCAGGTTATCATCCTTACTAAAGTCTAACAAACACTTTTGAAATTTGCCCTCGAGCATGGTTATTTAGTCATCCATAGTAGCAGGTCCTACAGATAAAAACTTGGAACAATAGTTGAGCGCAGCATGCATTTTACTGGTGTAATCACACTTACTGAGTATGACCACACCAGTACCTATGTCAAGTTTACAAATGTGCACATCAAGGCTTGCCTTGAAATTACACAATGCTACCAACGCATTGCTTGCAAGCCTCAAAAGTACATCCACCATTACATGTGATTCTACTATATTTTCATGGCAACACAAAACAATAATTACCAGCCTGGACTGAGAATTAAAATTGACAGTTGACTGCTTTTGCTACATCTCAATGTCAATAATGACCCAACCCAATCAGCACCCTCTTCTCATGCAGTATAAAATGGTACCCTTTTTTCAAGTCTGCTTGTTATGTATTAGTTCTGATGCGAGAAAAATAAGCTTCAACCTCTAGTCTCCTTTGAGCAATGTTTAACATCTGTACTACCAAGCAATTATTTATAGAAACATATATTCTCCAACTCACTGTCAACATTTTCAAATCAAAATTATATACCTTATGCCCTTCCATTTGCCACATTTCTGTAACCACTGGTTGGCTCACCACATCCTCACCTCCAATTTTGAAGAAAGCATACATTTTCTCTCTCAAACACAAGGATGCCAACTTTAAAAGAAACTCAATATACATCTTACTTCAGTAAAGCTTTGCGAATTTGCCCAATTGTTATCTGAAGAAAAGCTACTGTACAATGAGTGACTCAACAAAAGAGCAAAATCCTGTCACTGGAATGAATGGAAAATTGCTAATGGATTCTGGAAACTTTGGTGCACAACACATGCTCAGTCTCCATTCATAAACTTCTCCTCTACATCACAGCCCGAGGCAAAAGAACAAGCCTAGGACCAGGATTTAAGGGAATTCTGAGGCTACAATAAATACAATTTATTCAAACACACAAAAGATAGGTAAGGATAAATTCAATTCTTATTTTGTTACAATCTTCTCTTAGAATCACAAAATACTTCTGATACACCTCTATTTCATTGTCAAGCTTACATAATGAGCAGATGGCTAAGGCACTATTCCTGAAGTTGCCAAAGGATTGGCTTTGTAAAGGGCAGGTCTGTAGGACTCCTAATACGTATATTAACCAGTGAATGTAGGCTTTCAGTAGTCAGTAATCAAGAATCCATTGGCACATTTCTCAGCTGATACATATAATCTCCTCTCAGAATCACTACATTGGAGTAGCAGGCTATTCGGCCCATTGAGTTCACACCAACCCTCCAAACAGCATTCCACCCGGACCCACACCCCTATCCTAACCCTGTAATCCCGCATATCTACGGCTAGTCCATTAGCCTGCACATCCCTGGACACTATGAGCAACTTACTTTGACCAATCTATCAGCCGGCACATCTTTGAACTGTGGGAGGAAACTGAAGCACTGCAGGAAACGCATGCAGATACATGCAGAATGTGCAAACTCTACACAGATAGTCAACTTAGGGTGGCATCAAACCTGGGTCTCTGGTGCTCTGAGGCAGCAGTGCTAACCACTGAGCCACGACGCTGCTCTTGGACGACAAAAATGTCAATGATGCAGGCCAAAATTGGGTGAGTGTTTAAAATTGAAAAGATCAAAAAATAAGGCGCAAAACTGGTCAAAATATGCAATAACAGAGGAACATGTACTCCCACAACAAAACGACAGGTATTCTGAGCACAAATCATTTATCATAGCAACCAGCACAGCAAAATTATTTGATGAGTAATCCAGAGGCTGGACTAAAAGTATACAAGTTCAAATCCCACTAATGGATGTGGGGAACTCAAATTATGTTAATTAAACAAATCAGGAACAGAGGCCTTGTAACTGCCAGATTGTTTGTAAAAACTCAGTTGGTTCACAAGTATGCTTCAGGGAAAATAAAAATATTGTCATCTTTACCCAGTCTGGCCTATATATTCCAGACCCACAGTAGTATGATTGACGTTTGATAAGGTTCCCCATGGTAGGCTGATGGAGAAAGTGAAGTCGCATGGGGTCCAGGGTGTACTAGCTAGATGGATAGAGAACTGGCTGGGCAACAGGAGACAGAGAGTTGTAGTGGAAGGGAGTTTCTCAAAATGGAGAACTGTGACTAGTGGTGTTCCACAGGGATCCGTGTTGGGACCACTGTTGTTTGTGATATACATAAATGATCTGGAGGAAGGTATAGATGGTCTGATCAGCAAGTTTACAGATGACACTAAGATTGGTGGAGTAGCAGATAATGAAGGGGACTGTCGGAGAATGCAGCAGAATATAGATAGATTGAAGAGTTGGGTGGAGAAATGGCAGATGGAGTTCAATCCAGGCAAATGCGAGGTGATGCATTTTGGAAGATCCAATTCAAGAATAAACTATACAGTGAATGGAAAAGCCCTGGGGAAAATTGATGCAAAGAGAGATCTGGGTGTTCAGGTCCATTGTACCCTGAAGGTGGCAACGCAGGTCGATAGAGTGGTCAAGAAGGCATACGGCATGCTTTCATTCATTGGACGGGGTACTAAGTACAAGAGTTGGCAGGTCATGTTACAGTTGTATAGGACTTTGGTTCGACCACATTTGGAATACTGCGTACAGTTCTGGTCACCACATAACCAAAAGGATATGGATGCTTTGGAGAGGGTGGAGAGGAGGTTCACCAGGATGTTGCCTGGTATGGAGGGCGCTAGCTATGAAGAGAGGTTGAGTAGATTAGGATTATTTACATTAGAAAGACGGGGGTTGGGGGGGGACCTGACTAGGTCTACAAAAAGAGGTATAGACAAGGTGGATAGCAAGAAGGTGAGAGGGGAAAAGTTTAAGGGAGATATGCGTGGAAAGTTCTTTATGCAGAGGGTGGTGGGTGCCTGGAACGCGTTGCCAGCGGAGGTGGTAGGGGCAGGCACGATACTGTCATCTAGACAGATACATGAATGGGCAGGGAGCAGAGGGATACAGACCCTTGGAAAATAGGTGACAGGTTTAGAAAGAGGATCTGGATCGGCGCAGGCTTGGAGGGCCGAAGGGCCTGTTCCTGTGCTGTAATTTTCTTTGCTCTTTGACTCTTGTAGGGTATTGCAAACTGGAAGTTGTGATACCCACATTACAACTGACTATATTTGAAAGGTAGAGACAACAAGGTGCAGGGCTAGATGAACACAGCAGGCCAAGCAGCATCATAGGAGCAGAGAGGCTTTTGACGTTTCGGGCCGAGACCCTTCATCAGAAAAGGGGGAGGGGAAGGGGGTTCCGAAATAAATAGGGAGAGAGTGGGAGGCGGATAGAAGAGGGATAGAGGAGAGGATAGGTGGAGAGGAAACAAACAGGTCGAAGAGGCGGGGATGGAGCCAGTAAAGGTGAGAGTAGGTAGGGAGTTAGGAAGGGGATAGGTCAGTCCAAGGAGGACGGACAGGTCAAGGGGGCGGGATGAGGTTGGTCGGTAGGAG